CAGTTTACTACAGCCAAGGTTTATTTTTCAACTTATCTTTTTAAACAAATCCCAAACCTAATGTTCTGAATGGCTGACCCAAATGCTATTTCGTAATGACATCTGAGGGTTTGAGAATGAGGATTGAATGTTTTATCCAATCTGCTAATGGGGAATGTTTTTATACTGTGGGTGAGGACTCTCACTGGATGACTCTGGAGGCTGGACAGGCTGGGACGAGGTCCCTTTCTGTACGAGATTTAGCTTTCCATGCGAACAGGCCAGCGCACTTGCCCTCAGGCACATGTTGGGCACACAACCTTCCTGTGGGTACCATGTTAACCCATGCCACGCCTCCCAGTGATTGGTGGGACAGTGGGGTTGGGGGCATCAGCTGCTTCCAATTTACTGTTCCTCTCCCCAGCCATAGCCTTTGTGCAATGAAATGGAAAAGGGAAGAAATCTCCGATGATGGTGATGGGTCTGTGACTCTTGCTTTGCATTCATTAAATGAATATACCATTTACACAGTGATGGGTTCAGGACATATTACCCCAAAATATGGCACGCTGGCTGATTGACTAGTTCAGGCTGAAGGAATGTGAGAAATGACATATTCTGATCTTTTCCTGAAGCAGTTCAAAACCCTCATGTGAGAGGTGCCCTCTCTATGCTAGGGATAGGAGCCGCCTTAGATCCAAAGATGAGAGACACAGAGAGAAATCCGAATTAACAGGCCCTGCTAAGTCCCCTAGTTCACTGCACTTACCTCGTACCCTTTGTCCTAGCATATCTTCCCACGACTCTCCACTCTTCATCAAATCTAGCATAAAAAACACTCAGGTTTAACTGTTTCTTTGGGTCTTCATTTCTTTATGAGGACTCCTGTGTCATGTAAAACTTGGATAAATTTGTATGTTTTTCTCCTGTTAATCTGTCCTTTTCAGTTCAACTTTCAGATCCAACCAGGGACCCTAAGAGGGTCAAGGAGGACTTTTTCCTCCCCTACAACAGCACAGGCAGTGGAAACCCATAATGCTTTGTCCTGGCTGCCCCAAAGAGCTGCTCTATCCACAGGCCAGCTTCCAGCCTCAAGGAACAGGTCTCAGTTTAACTCCAAGTTTCCACCTAGGGCTAACTCCATGCTGATACGTTTCAGTACAACCTAGACCTGTTGGGGTTTTCTTTCTACCTTTTCTCTGTTCATTTAAGTAAGGGAATCACTGAAAGTATTATGAGAAATCAATTGTTTCTTGCGCCGTCTGCCTATCTCAATGTGTTGAACACAGTTCTGGAAGGCAGCACATGTTAGTGGGTATGTAGTAGGGGAACTCCTTCCTACCTCATGAGAGCTGAATTAGGATCCATGCACTCCATTCTCACCATGGTGTGAACACAGAGAATTAACTCAATACTTGGCCTCTGATGCAATGCAGTTGCTTTAACTTCTGTTCTCTCACTTTCTGGGATGACTGAGACAGTGGCCGCACTGTCTCCTGGTAGTGCCCACCCATGTGTGTGGGGACAAAGGATGATACAAGCCCTCAAGACTGTTGCTTCCCAAGCTCTTGTCCATAGACCTGGTGACTGGGCTATAAACACCATTCTTGGACAGTCCCCCAAATTCCAATATAATAATAGTTTGGAGAAACAACCATTCAGACCATAACCCTCATTTAGGCTGAGTATGTCAGGCAGTGTTATTTTTAAATCTTTTGAGAAAACAAGAGTCTAATAAATAGCAGTAATTCCTTCTACCCACCTAAATCATTTGTAGTTGAGAGAAGAGTCCTTCTTTACCAAGGAGAGCCGTCTACCTGTGTACCTTGCGTCCAGCCTCCATCTTGCCACACCTGTTCACAGTCTTTAGCCTTCTCAATTTTTATAGTCATTACCCTCTTCCACTTGAGAGTCTCCTTTCTCCCAGTATCTATGGCACAACAGTCTTCTGGTTCTTTTTCTATTTTTCTGACCAGTTCTTCTCTTCCCACTTAGATATATACCCTCAAGTTCTCATCCACAGACCTTCTCTATTCTGCTTTTCTACTTCAGGAGTTTTATCCACTTCGATAGTTTCATTGAACACATCAAGGAGGGTAGTCTCAAATCTTTACCTTCCTCCAGCACTGGACCAGCATTTATAACTTTTTATTTGACATCTCCCCTTGCTTGCCAGACCCCCAACTCCTCACCCTCCACATGGAATGAATAGCTCTTGCCCCTGGATTCCCACTCTCTGTTCATATGAGCACAAAAGCTGTGGCTCTCACGCAGAACTAAACTTAACGTGAACTTTATCCACTATTATTGCCATTATTTTCCTAATCCGTTACTTCTTTCAAACTAAGCTGCTTTCTCTTTTTTGAATTCATAGTCTCCCTTCCGCAGATGAATGAAAGAATGAACCAAATCGAAGTGTTTTTAAAGAGTTCTGACTTTCTAAACTTACACACAGCACAGAGCTCTGATCATCTTTGACACACATGGCCCAGGTCAGACCAGTTAAATTTCTTCCCCAGGTTTAGTCTACGTGGGATGAACCGAGAAGGATCCTTGACACCAGGGCCATGAAACTAGGACAATGAGAACCCAAGACTTTTGTACATTTGATAGAGTGTCTGAGCTTTCCTTCTGCCATATTATCATACACTCTCCTCTTTTTCTACTAGTTTAAATTAGATCTATTTGTTGCTCAAAACTGACAACGGTCAGTATTTACTCCTCAAATTCTGTGATCTCTCCCTCTTTTGAACCACGCCCACTGCAGTGTAAGCTCCTTAATGGCAGAAAGGCGTTTCCACTGATTTCTTTTTCGGCCACCACCCCCACACCCCACCTGGGCATAAGGCCTTGAAGGCAAGCTTGCAACAAAGGTTAGCTCCTTGGTGTCAAAAAAGTATGTCTGATCGCCAGTTTTTGTATAATACCTATTTCTTTTATTCTAGTATGCATATTTTTCACAATTTAATATTGACGAAATCAGGATTCATCTTATAATCATTGGCATGCTATAATTTAATTAGCAGAATTTATTCTTTATTAGTAGTACATAAAATATGGGTGCATCTTACATTTGATGGTGTCTTAGGTTCCGTGAAATAAAGTATCGTTCAAGCGTCCTTGATAACAATTATGCTTACTCCTCTGTCTTCCTGCCTCTAGGGTGAATCGTTCCTTGTTCTCAACATTTTCTTAGTTCCTGTGTCCTCCTACTACTCTTGTTTCCTCTTTATCTCTTTTAATTTTCTGCCGTTCTCAAGCAGAGTCGGACAATTGCAATGCGATAAGGCGATGCTAAATACAACAGTGTCTTTATATCATGGTCCCACATGATAAAATGCTGCTTATGAGCCTATATGTTTGCTATAGAATAAACTCCAGTTAAATATATAAGCTAGTTAAAATACAACTTTATTTTTTTAAGTGTAAACAGGCTACCATACTATCTGAGCCTCAATTTATGAAGACAACGTAGTCAGAAACAGAGTTGTGTTAGAATTAAATCAGACAATCTAAGCAATATTATATATCTAATGACAATATAATTATCACTCTTCGAGCAGCATTATGGCTTAGGAGAGTCTCTAGAGAGTAAAGGTTTCTCAACAAGTCCAGATGCCTATACCATCCAACCATCCTTATTTATATACTTTCTTCTTCATTTGTCTATGAGGCTAGGAAATCCAGTGGTCTTGAGCCAGACATCTCCATGGAGGGGAAACTGTCCTCATTAGCACTGGCATGGGGTCTCTCACCTCCTGTTCCCATAGCCTAAGATTCGGCCAAAGCAGATGACTTGCCCCACAAACCCTATACTCTGCAATCCCAAATTTTCCTGCTTTGCCCATGCCTTCGCTCAGGCTGATCCTTTCATCTATCGCAGCACTAATAGCACTTTCTGTGACTGTGGAAAAGTTTTTTAGATTTGCACTGTCCAATACAGTAGACACCAGCCATATGTGGCTATTGAGCAGAGCTATTGAAATGGAACTAATGCAACAAGGACTGGTTTTTTAAATTTTATTTAACTTTAATTTAAATTTAAATAGATACAGGGTTAGGGGCTACTACATCGGACAGCACAGATCTAGCATGTCTTTTTCTACATGTGCATGTAGCATCTACATTTCTTTTTCTCTGAATCCTCAAACTTCTAGCAAATTATCAAACCTGAGAGTGGTCTTGGAGACCTCTTGAATTTGCAGTTGCCCAAGATAATCTATGTCGTATTGTTGCCCAAAGCTGGTCCCACTAAGAGTTCAGCTCCTTGAATCCTAGCCCTGATCATATAACCTCTGGACCATGGGCTGGAATCCACAGTTCAGATCAGGGCCGATGACCAGAGATGATGAGTCTGGTCCTCAACACGGGCAATGGAATGGTAGAGCAAGTGTCTGGGACAAAGGTCACACAGGAGTGTAGGTGGGGGCCTGACTCGGAGAAAGGAACAGAAAAGCTGGGATGCAGAGAATAACTGTGTGGTCAGTCATGCAGAGGAAGTAAGTGAGAAAGGATCAGGGCGCTCTGGCCCCTGGCCTGAAACTTCTGGGGGCCCTGGTATCCCCGTGTGCTCCACGCCTCAAGAACTGGGAATTCTGGGAGCCATAAGCTATGGAGCAGCCTCCACGGGCCAGCGACTACTTGATTTAAGGCAGGGTTATGCTCTCTTGCTTGTACCATTAGTCTACTCTTGACCAAAGGACCAGACACCCAGACCTTGAGCAGGAAGGTGGCAGGGCCGTGGGAAAAAGAGCAGAACAACTTCCTTCGGGAAGCAGAAAATCTGAAGTGGGCCTTTCCTCCCTACTTCCCCAGAACAGCCTTCTAATTCTAATTCCAAGTGCTGTGATTTCAAGATCATGTTCTCTATACCTCCAGAAATTATACTAATTAGAGATTCTCTTACGTTAACTAGCAAACACCTAAAACAGGGTTGAGGGAAATGGTCATACACAGTTTACAGTAGAGTCAATGAATAGAATTGCTTTTCTAATCTGAATTTAGCTGCATTAGAAGAAATAGTCACTAGCTTGTGGAAATAAGGGAGAAATCATTCTAGGGTACAGGGCACTTCTGGTGGGCGTAAGTGGAGTCCCTGGGGTGGAGGCAGGGCTTGGAAACAGGGATATTGAGGACACATGGCTGCTGGGGGAGAAGCCCAAAGACAGAGGTAGGAAAACATGTGAAACAAATTTCCGCAGGAGACCCATGCGTCCTTCCGCCCCCAGATCAAGTTCTGCAACACTAATTGTCCAGGCCCCGTCCCTCTCCCCAGCACTAGGCTGGTCCGGCATGGAGATTCCAGGAGAAAAGAACTGAGCTGGCTTTCTGAGGGCCTCATAGGAGACAGAATGTGCTTTTCTGGCTAGGAGTAAAAGAGCCAGCAAACAGACTGGGTTTGAGGGGTTAGTAGGGGTCGAGGGAGAGAAAAGAGCAGAAGCACTTTCTGCCACATGTAGAATGGGCACGGGCTTAGAGGAGTTCTCTGAGAAAAGAGACTTCTGTTTGTTTATTTCCATAGCACTTGGCACAGGGTGGATATTTAACGAATGGTTGAATGGATAGTTGAATGAATACTGTCCCCTAACATTGCAAAAGCATGCAAGTTGCCAGACTCACACAAGGCAAATCATTTCCTGTCTAGCATCTGAGCTTTTTTGCCTTCTTAGGCACTTAATCCAGTTGTATGAGTTTACAGGTGTTTTATTTTTATTTTGAATTCTAATTTCCCATCTCCTATCCAGAGTGCCCCTAAGCTTGCCGTTCATTTTCCTTTCCTTTTCACAACTGAAATCCTAGGCTTCATAAGGATCTCAAACATCTGGAAGGCATTTGAATCTTTTTTTACGGGGTGGGAGGATCTTGTGAACCTGTTCAGACACAAGAACAGAAGAAGAAAGCCTCAGAGAGACATGAAGTAAGACACAGCACTGCATGAATGAGGGGCAAACCGGTGAGGTCAGGGCAAGGGCAGCTGGAGGGCTCCTGGGCTCTTCCAGGAGGGGGCGCTGCTCTCCAGGGTCCAAGGGCTGCTGCTCTGTTCAGTGAGGGGAGCGGGGTCAGCAGGTCTACGTGCCTACGGCCGGCCCGGCTCCCATAGAAGTCTAGGCCCTTTCTCAGGCACAGCCTTGAAGCCCCTAGGAAAACACTGACCAATAAATTAGGTTGAAAAATATATAGGAGGCAGGAAATATCAATCTGGAGTATTTGTCAATGGCATGGGTGTTCTGGAAGATGCGCAGACCCATTTGGCCCTTCAGAAGCCCTTTCTTCCTGGAGGTGTTGGGTTCATTGCTCAGAGCCAGGTGAACCACTATTTTGTCTTGCCGGTCTTCTTCTGTCAGAGTATGGCTTCTCGGGTACCCAGCCAGGCTGTTGGCCTCAGACTCACTGTAGCTTCCATCCAGCATCATGGTTCTTGAGTGAAGCATTCCACACATGCACGGGAACTGCAGGCAGCAAACACAAGAAGAGGTGCCAGGCATGTCTGGGCCTTGTCAAAGGGGCAGAAGAGGTGGCCTGGGTCGAGAGCAAAGCCCTACGGCTGCTCAGAACCACAGAAAGGCAGAACTAGAAGGATCCCCAGAGATCATTTAGCCCAATGATTCTCTACCCTGGATGCCTATTAGAGTCACCTGGGAAGCCCTTTAAACTGGCCATGCCCACACTCCACTCCAGATTAATTTAAAGCCCCCAGGTGATTGTGCTAGGTAGCCAGGGTCTAGAACCACGATTTAGTTTAAATGCCCTCAATTACAAAGGCAAAACTAAAGACCAGAGAGGCTATACAGTTCTTCTGAGATAACTTAGCTGGTGTCAGAGTTGGGGCTTTAAATCCACACATTCTGGTTCCAGTTGTGGGACTCCACCACTTTACACAGGAATCAAAAATGGATTAGGTAGGAGAGTGCCCTTATTCTAAAGAGTTACGCATAAAGTTAAAGGGTTATGGTGCCTGCAATGTATTTTTAAATGGTTTGTCTGCATCAACAAAACTACAGTCTTCCTGCTTCCAGTCTTTGTCCAGAGACTTTCTGATTTTTGGGACCCTTTGTGGCAGAAGCTAGAACCTATTCTAAAATGGATCCTTCTCCTTTTATGTAAACATCTCCCATCTTCCACCCCAATTCTCATCCCACCAGAAGCATGAGCTAAGACAAGAAAATCAATGAAACTTCTCTCACCTTCTCCCGAAGCTTCCGTTCCTTCCGCTCCTGCACCGTCGTCAGGTAGTTGACGGCTGCGTACTCCAGCACCGAGAGGAACACGAACACAAAGCTGACCCAGAGGTAGATGTCCACGGCCTTGATGTAGGAGACGCGGGGCATGGAGGCGTTCACGCCCGTGATGATGGTGGACATGGTCAGCACCGTGGTGATACCTGCAACATCCAGCTTTAGTTCAGCTGCTGACAAGGGTACAGAACTGCCCTCACATTTCGCTAAGTCACCATTTTACATTCTCCATCTCTTAAACCTAACAAGAAATTCCCCAGGCATATTTCTACTTCATAGAGGTGCAAGGATCAGCTGCATAAGCAGCCAGCCCGTTCTTCCGGCTGACTCGCTGCTTGTCTCCTTTCACTTTAAGTGCCTCGGGACACTGGTTTTCTGTGATGTGGCTGACAAGGTCAGCACTGCTTCAGAAAGGACCTGTTCAGATGTGGAATTTAAAACAGTACTAATAGACACCTTTAAGGAAAACTTCCCAAACCTCGAGAAATGCACACGTGCTCCCTCATCTAAGCCACATCAAGACTGGAAATTCCTGGAAGCCTATCGTGCCAGTTTTGTTTTCACTGTGCCTTGCTGGTCAAACCCTCACATTTCTCAGGGCCCAGTCTGATTTTGTCCAAATTAACATTTAGACAAATATAAACATTCAATCCAGAATTCAGGGTCTGCGAAGGACTAAAACCATAATTCCAGGGAATGCAGCCCTCTCCTCAGATATCACATAATATAGAACCTGCTTCTAAACTCTCAGTCTGTCTAAATAAAGTTTTTGTATTTAAAGAATAAGTTTTTGGCATTTGTAGAATTGTCATATTTATCAAAGTCCTGAGCTTCAATACTACCAGTGGTGGAAGTCTATACCCCAAATAGGCTTTATCTTTCCAACATGATTCAAGCAGAGCTGATGTCATTTTAGCTCCTTGTGGTTTTCACAGTGTAGCCTAGGAAACTGAAGATAGCATGGGAAAGGTGAAGACAAAAAGCAGGAGGAAAAATTGCTCCTTTTGACTGCGATGGCCCATCAGTAAAGAATTCTGAATAATGTTTTTACTTTTTCTTTACGTAGTCATCAGTTGAAAAAAATAACCACTCTACCACACCTTATTAAACACTTTTACCCAGTGAAACTCTGGCAGGCACAGCTCTGCGGTCGATCCAGAAGGACACCCAGGACAACATGACCATCAGGGTGGCGGGGAAATAGGTTTGGAGCAAGAAGAAGAAGATGTGGCGACGCAACGTGAAGTTAATGTACAGACGGTTGTACCAGCCTGGGGGACACAGGAAGAAGCCGTGAGGTCTAATTCGAGAGACACAAACCAGCCCCTTCCCCGGGAGCCCTCCTTTCCCTAACTTTTTACATGACCACCTGGCTTGTTTGTTCTTTGCAAACCACAACCACATTTCCTGAGTGACTCACTGCTCAGGAGCATAAGAAGTTTAACTGGTTCTATTTTGTCGAAGCCAAAACCACTGAGGCAGAAGTCAGCCAACCTGGCCTCTTACCACTGTGCCCTTTATCGTAAGATTGGTCAACTCTGTCAATCACCACATTCATCACAAGAAGAAACAGGCCATTGACGTGACTTTGAAGTCTGACATCAGTTCTACCTCTGACCCGCCATTCGCCTCGGAAGTCACTTCATTCATCTTGTGCAAGTCATTTACCATCTGTTCATTCCTCAGGAAAAACTGAGGATATAGATATCATTTCATTTTGGCAACTTGAGAATCACTGATTAGTGGTTGTAAAAAGGATTAAAATTGTAAGGTTTCAAATGATCCACAAGATCATTACCCAACCACTGAGACCAAAGATGGTGTCAAAGACAGTGTGAATGTGTAAAGTGGACTGAAGCTGTGTGCACACCCCACCCCACTCGCATCTCAGCCCAGGCTTGTCAGAAAGTGTTAGAACTCAGAGATGGTCCCACTCTGTGTCTCAAAGTGTGGGGTACACACAATGATACACAAGATGATTACGGAAAATGGGTTCTTTTTTGTTTATGTTCATTATATTTATTATTAAAGTCATCTTCTATTTATGGCAAATGATACCAGTTTTCCATCAATTATAGTGATATAAAATTCCTTTTCAAAATAAATTACGAGAGGGGAGTTGACTTAAAGAAAAAAATTAAGTCTACTCCAGCATAGGTAGTATGTAACTAAGACAAAATTCACAATGATGTTATGTAAATAATTGAAACCCAGACTGAGTCTAACCCTCTTATTTGGGACATGAGGAGATTCCCAGAGGCTTGTTTAAGATCTCAGCCTGAGTCAGACTGAACTTGGGTCAGAGCTTGGGTCTGCAATGCTCAGTCCAGAGCTCCTCTTACACAATGTCTTTTCAATATAGCAGTGGCCTTGATCTTGGTTCCTTCCCTCAAAAATTTTCAAGGAATTGCATGGAAGTCCTATAGGATGGAAGTGCTCAAGATATAGAACAGTGTATATCTAAGTGCTAAAATGTCCATCTGTGGAAGCAATGAGTGCTTTGGGTTTTGGAAAAGAGAGACCCGAATAACCATTGTCTGGAATGATTACGGAAGACCTCATGGAGGAGATGAACATAAGCTGGACAAGTGGACAGAAAGAGGAGAGGCTCAATGATGGGAGAGAGTGATGCAGGCTGAGGACAGTGACTTTCAACCCGGCTGCACACAATGAACCCTTAGGAGCTTTACTACTCTCCAAAGCCCTATCCCAGAGAGATTCTGATTTCATTGGTCTGGGATGGGGCCCTAGGCATTGGCATGTTTTAAAAGTCCCCCAGGTTCACAGCAGCACTATTCACAACAGCCGAAAGGTAGAAACAACTCAATGTCCATTGATGCATGAATGGACAGATATAATCCATACAATGGGATGCTATTCAGCCTTAAAAAGGAATGGCATTCTTAAACATGCTTCGACATGGATAAGTCTTGAAACCATTATGCTAAGTGAAATAGGCAGTCACAAAAAGGATAAATATATGACTTCACTTATACGAGGTACCTAGAATAGTAAAATTCATAGACGCAAATAAAATAGAGGTTCCTGGGTTGGGAGGCAGTGAGGAATGAGGAGATACTGTTTAAAGGGTGCAGAGTTTTTCTTTGGGATGACAAACAAGTTCTGGAAATGGATAATGATGATGGTTTCACAACATTGTGGATGTACTTAATGCTAGTGAATTATACGCTTAAAAATGGCTGAAATGTTAAATTTTATGTTATGTGTATTTCACCACAATAAAAAAAAAAGTACTAGGCAATGACAAGAAAAAGTTCCCCAGGTAATTCTAATGTGCTGCCCGAGTTGGGAAATCTTGACTTAGAGCAGCGTTTCTCAAAGCAGTGTTCCTAGACCAGCAGCAAGAGCTCCACTGGGAACTAGCTAGAAATGCAAATTCTCAGGGCCCACATGAGACCTGCTGAAGAGAAACTGTGGAGGATGGGCCCTGGCAAATCTGTGTACATTATCCCTGGAGAACTTGTTAAAACACAGATTGCTGGGCTCCATCTTCAGTTTCCAGGTGATACTGATGCTGCTGGTCTGAGCATCACACTTTGAGAAACACATTGATTAAAAGCAATGATCTTTGAACTTCGACATGCATAAAAATCATGTGTTAAACATTCTGAATCCTGGGCTCCACCACCTGAAATTCTGACTCAGTAGCTGCAATGGGGCCCAGAATTCTGCTTGTCGAATACACTCCCCTTGTGGTTCAGATCCAGGCGGACCTCAGGCTGCACTGGAGAAATGGTGCTGAGGGAACAAAAGCCACCTGGCTGGAGTGGAAAATTAGTACTGAGTCAGGTAAGGAAAGGGTTGGGTCAATAGGGAAAGGCTGGAATATTAGGGTAGGTCCAAACGACCTGACTTACGGTTACTGCATAGATTCATGGGTTGTTTGAATGAGGCAGGAGCATTTAATGGAGTGGATAGATAGAAAATGACCTTCTAATAGGACAGAAACTACGAATCACTTATTCATACCACAGCCTTTGTCCAATCTCATCGGCCTAAGTTGGCATCTATGAAGCACATCACATTATTCCTTAGGTTTGCACAGGGTCTTTCTGGAAAGGCTGAGCTGCTTTTACTCCATGAAGGACTAGTTCATTATCCTTTCCTTCTGTCTAAGAAAATCAGGGAGAGTTGCCTTGGAAACACAAGGAGGGAACCAAGAGCTTTGAAAATATACACTCCATGTGCCAAACAGAACACTCTTGGATGAGATCTCAGTCCCTGTGGGGTGGGATGATAAATCTGTTTGTTGGTACACAGTAAATAACAGGAGCAGAAGATGCATTTTAATCTGGAGTCCAAAAAAGCTCGAATGGGGCACAAAACAAATAAACGAAAAACAAGCATGCTATTCTATCATAGGAAACATTTAAGAGGAGTACACATAATGACTAAAGCAGATTGCCTGGCCGTTAAGCAGCTGTGCAGCTTTAATAAACAACTTAATTCCTCCTAGTCTCGGTTTTCTCATCAGTCTGCTGAGGATAATAACATCTACACAAGGTTTGTTGGGTAGAAATTAGTTAATTTATATAAAGCACTCAAAACAGTGGCACATAATAAGTTATACAAGAAACTCTTAGTAATGGTTTTAGAGAGTTGATCTGAACTTGCCAAGAATAGATGAAAAAGGAAATTGTGTGGCAATACCTATCGGAGTGAAAGAGAAGAGAGAGATGAGGATGAGCACTGTGGGCATAAAGTGAAATAGCTTGAGCTGTTCCAACACCAACACCGCCTTGCCTGGGCTCACTCTTATCCATCCAGTGTTCAATATTGTGGACAGAGGGGTGTGGATGGGGGCAGGCGGACAGGGAGATGGTGCCCATCCAGGGGCAAACAGTAGCACAAAAGCTTCCCAGGCTTCTCAGAACTGGAACAAAAGGTAATGAAGTAAGAAGCCCTCTAGGTCCCATTGCTACCACAGAGCTGTCATGGGTTGAATCGTGTCCCCCGGAAAGATATGTTAATGTCCTGACTGTCGATATTTGTGAATATGACCTTATTTTGAAACAGGGTTTTTGCGCATGTAATCAAGGTGAGATGAGGTCATCTTGGATAAGGATGGGCCATAATCCAATGACTGATGTCCTTAAAATAGAGAAATTTGGACATAGACACAAAGAGACACCACCATGTGAAGACGCAGAGACACAGGGAGAATGCCATGTGACGATGGAGATAGAGATTGGAGTGATACAGCAACCACCAAAAGCTAGCAAGAGGCCAGGGAAGATTCCTCCCAGCATCCTTCAGAAGGAGCATGGCCCTCAGACTTCCAGCCTCCAGAACTGTGAGCGAATAAATTTGTTGTTTCAAGCCCCCAGCTTGTGGTACTTTGTTATGTATGACAGTCCTAAAAGATTAAGACAAAAGCTCATAGTGAGATTAAAGAAGAGCTGATAAATGGATCCTCTCCAAACTTCAAACATGACCCAGGGTCCAAGATGAGGTCACACAAGCATTAAAAATGAATGTATAGATCTAAATATAGGTAATAACACATTGCCTTGTCAAGCTATCCAATCCATATTGTTAAAGCAAATGAATCAAGTTACAGAAAACCATGTAAAATATGACCTACTTTTGTAAAATTACATAATTAAAGCAAGATGTCTACAGAGCTGTTTGCTAAATTGTTAGGAATGATTACCTCTGGCTGTGGGATTTCAGAGGGCAGCAACTTTTTCACTCTCCGCTTTTAAGCGCTATTTCTGTTTTGGAGGACTATAAATTATTTTGATAAGGAGAATGTATTTTCATTGGGAGGGAAAAGGTTAAGGCTGAAGAAGAGTTCTAATGTGTTTTCTTCCACATTTGAATCAAACCACGGCAAAAGTTAGCTACCGGTGCTGCTGTAGAAGGCCAGTCTGGAAGTGGTGTGAAATTTCTGAATCAGAAACTGAGACAGGGAGATCTTTTCATCTGTTTTCAGGGATTCATCTCCATTCTTCCAATACAGCATCAGATCTTCATCTGTATATGCGTCTTTGGGGAGAGGAAAATTAATTTGAATCTTTTGCTTCTGATGCAGTTTGAAGCAACAGAGAAATACTTTACCAGCCTAGGAGGAAACAGGTCTTAACCCTGGCAGGTGGTACTCAGTCTCATGGCTACTAAAATGACACAAGGTCAGAGAGGGAATAAGGCAAAGATCTGTCATTAGGAATACTGATACTTACAGCTTTCCAGCTCCAAAGAACAAGTCTGGGAGTCCAGGGGAAAGTGGCTGAAGTCCATGTTGCACATGGCAGTGACCGTAATCCTAGACAACCCAAACATGCATGTTGGCTTGTACAGAGAGTTACTGCTCAGAATAAGGAGAACACACATGTGACCAAGTGCCTCTGCCTCCCCAAGTGTACTTCAGAAGTCTGGAAATCCAGGCATCTAAGTTACAGAACCTTAACTTTTAGAGTTTTGTCTTCTGTAGAAGCACCAATAATTGGTGCTCTGCCTGGATCCTAGCTACTGAGGGTGTTGACTGCTAATGGCTCACATCTGCACCTGTCTCTGTCTCTTATCATCGGTTTCATCCAGCCTCCCCCAGAGACACCTGGGAGGTTATGCCCCCTTCACTCCCCTACCCGAGGCTATCAGCATCTAATTCTAACAAACTTTACAAGCAAGCTAGGAAGATGTAAATGAGACTGTATAATTATTCAAGTTAGCCCCAAAGCCAATATACAACAGCACTCAATAAGCAGTAGCTATTGTTATTTTTTTTTTAATCTTTATTACTAGGAAACCAGTATTATAGGTTCTCAGGGGTGGAAGGTACAGAGAAGGTTATTGTCTCCCGCAATTCGTTCAGGCTCAACTAGTCTCCTAACCCAGGCTTAAGATCCCCGATGACAGAGAATTCACGAGCTACTAGCCATTTCATCATAGAAAGTTCTAACTGGCATGAGAAGGCTCATACCATCCCATGTAGTCCACAGACCCAACCACAGTGACAAACTCATCGGGGCCAAAGAGACTAACCACACATATTAGAATGGCATTGAACAAAGAAACCATGACCCCATGGGCAGTTACCTCATGCTGTACAGCACATGCCCATCCGGGAACACCCTCAGCATGATGTTGTCAGTGGTGGTGTCATGGGTAAATGACCTTTTGGAGTGAACAAAGAAGACGTCGGGGACCCAGATCTTCTTTACCAGTCGGCCATCAAAGGTCATGCTCTTGTTGCTGGCACTGGGGAAGGCTAGCCTCTCATCCTTCCAATAATGCCGCAGGTACAAGGTCATGGTAAAGTCCTGTGGGAGCGAAAGAAGACCAGACAGAAATGGCTTAGAAAGCTTCCTTCCTTAAAATTGACCCCTCATCTGCCGCTATAACAGATACCTCAGGCTCAGCCTTCGAAGTCAAAAGTGATAGTTCTGCAGCCCTGCCTGAGATGGCAGAGACAATGGCACTGCTGTGACAGGAAAGAGAATGGCTTATTTTTGTGTATCATGAGGTTGGAGCCAGGAGACTGAGCAACCTATCCTTCCGGCTTTGCAGATTAATACTGCAGCTGTGATGCTGACAGCCTGGCCTGGGGGTCAGCAGGGTGAGATCTCCCCAGAGCCCTGTTCTCTCTCACCTAGACATTAGCACACATGGCTTCTTACTGGCTAACATTCAATTTCAGCTTAGTGGACACTTCTAGAAACTAGACAGTCAAGTGTCCCATTTAGGATTTGTAAGATCTTTGAAAGTAGAATTGTGACTTGCCCACCACGGAATCCCCAGGCTCTAGTTTAGTGCAGGCCAAGGCACATAGTGGGTACTTAATAAATATTTTCGGGATGGAAAAATCAAGGGGATGGTCAAAGAGCCTTCCCTCACCACCTGATCTTGCTGGGCACTGCCAAGGAGAGTGTAGGGGAGCTATGCTCACTGAGGGCACTGGCGATCAAAGAACGGCAGAATTTCCATCTGAAAACGTCCACCTCCCACTCTCTTCCAAGTATGGTTCATCAAACCGCTCATATCACGTGAGGAGTATGTTCAAAGGATAAGGTGCTGGGCCTCACTCCCACAGACTCTAAATCAGGAAGTCTGAGCCAGGGCCCAGAAATCTGCATCAAACTAACTCCTCAAGTTATTTTTACCCATAACGCTTGAGAACTCCTGCTCTAGACTTTACTGCCCTTGGGCCAACTTCCAAGGCCCAGCTTCATTCCTTCCAGCTCTGGCTCTGCCCACTCAGGCACAGCCTGCACCAATGCAGCCCTGCCAGCCACACGCTCTCATAGAAACTTAGCCTCGAGATCCCACACTGCAGGCTGCCGCCAAGTGTTCTGCATACCATGTCTACTTCCGAGATGCTGTCCAGGCTCTCCACCTGCACGTCCACACCCACTGGGATGGCAGGGCCTGCAGAAGGGCAAAGATAACTGGTTGAAGGCACATTCCCCTCCACCACTGGGCTGGGAGACCATCCCAACTCCCTTCTTGGGATAGCCTGACTGAAGCAGGAGGGAGGCAGTGGTTCAAATTCCGTGAGGGTTTTCTTGCTACTTCCTGATGTGTTTGGTTCCTGAGGGCAATGACTGTCTGCCTTACGTGCCTTTCCTGGGCCAAGGTGATTTTTAATCTATGCCTGCTGCATGAGTCAAAGAGCTGGATTCCTATTGTGTAGTCTCAGGGCTCTCTGTAGGGTAGATGTATTAATATTGTGCTAGTGTTTGAGTGGAGACCCTAGTCATTTGTCCTCCTGTGACATCTAAAAAGGATAGAATGAGAGACCAAGAATAAGGCCTAAGAACCTCTAATGTGGGCTTGGGACACCTGCACGCCCGGGGCTGGATTCATTCAGTCATTCAAGCCCCACCTACACAGTACCTAACAGATAGCTGGGGTCCTGCCCACTAGAAGCCTTTTACATCGTGTGAGATGAGATCTCTTACATGTACAGTTAGATCACAGTGAAAAACAACACCATACGGAATTTTGAAAACTTCAGGATGTGTCATATGAAAAGTACAAGAATACATAGCACAGAAGGTCGGCACTCAATTTCATCTAGCCAGTGATGAGATTTCTAAAACTGTGTTTATCTGTGGGTTCCTGTTCTATTTTTTGGTCTGAGTGATGATCACATTGGTAGGTTCACTTTGTGATAACTTAGTGGGCTTTACGCTTACAATTTATGTGCTTTTTTTATATGTATGTTATGCTTCCACAAAATGTGTGGTTGTTTGTTTGGTTTTTTTTTTTAGATTTTAATATGTATTTTTTAAAAACTTAGAATGGAGGGAAAAACAAAAATCTACGTCTGTCAAACATATTAATGAATGCTATTGCACTCACAGGCAAGAACTGTTTCTGAGAGGGTTAAGTGGCAGCTGAGCCAGGCATCCCAGGGAGAGGGACTTGTCCAGAGGCCAGGCCCACTGCCCTGGATCCTCTGAGCCCTAGCCAGGGAATTCAGGACCCCAAAATCCTGACCCATAGTGGTCTGAGTAGGAAGAACCTTAAGGTGGCAGGGGAAGTCTGGGTCTTAGGGAATGGGATGGACTGTAAGGGACCAAGACTTTGGCCATGGGCAGAGAGGGAAGATCAGAGGTGCTAACATGAAATAGAAACCAGAAAGCTCAACGCTGTCTCCACCCAAATACAGGTGTCCTCACGGAGGTGGCCCAGGGCATTTGATGGGCTCACCGACTCCCCTCGAAACTCCCCCATAGGCTTGATAATACCTGCAATCCCACCATTAAAAATTTGCTTTTTGGGCTGATCTCTATTGAATAGAAGCATTTTATTTATTACTGGCGTGATTTAGTGGCTATTTCCTATGTTCTTAAACATGAAAGCAAATGAGTATAATGTTTTATCTTTTTATTTTTACTTTTTCACCTCTCAGAGAAATCAGGATGTAAACTGGTCTTTTTATTTTCCTGTGTTCCTCAACCGATAGCTTAGGCCAGGGCCCATTAGAAATCTCTGCTCTGACAGCAGTATGGTATTCTCTTCTTATTCCAGGCTCCAGGAATGCTTTAAAGGTGCCAGAAGCCCAATGTTCCATGTGGAGAGGAGGACCTCTCCTGAGGGCTGAATAGTCTGCCTTTCTCTCCTGAGGGCCTTGCAACACAAGGGAGGGTCTGCCAATAGCCTGGCTGGGGCCCTCTCCCAGTACCCAGATCCCTGCATAGGGCTGTGTGCTTCTAACATTGCCAGTGGGGAAGTGTGGTTGGTTAATCTCCTCATCCTCTGGACTCTTTGTTAGCCTGAGATATTAAAACAGCCTAGAGTCCAAGCTCTTAACCCCTGATGGCGCTGCTTCTGTGGCAGCTATGCTGCACTCCACCCACGCACCATGTGACCTGCCACATCCGGTGTTTCAGGAGCCAAAGGAAAGAAACGATAAAGGCATCACCCTCTTTGGACCCACTTCCCGGTGGCCTTGTTTTCAGATAATGCTCACAATGTTTGACCAGCAGCTGGTTTGGGCTAAGGACACTTTCCAGATAAATATATCAGCTTGCTTGCTACCTGTTACTGTCTCTCTGTTCTCAGGGCCGCCTTGCTCTCCACAGCTCCAGCCACCCTTCTAAGAGAAATTTGATAAAGCCTGTGAGGGTGACATCAATGCTGGAGTGCAGGCCATGTTCTCAGGGAAACTGGGCTGTTGGGGAGGTGAGCAATCTGTGTGTTCAGGATGCTCCAGCGCTGCATTCTGAAGGACTCACTCCTCAAGCTAGAACAGAACCAATGGCCCTGCCCTCTTTGATCCAGAAGCATGGAGCTGACCTTTGCCTTTGACCTGCCCCACAGCCAAAGGCTAAGGCTCCCTGGATCTCCTGAACTCTGCATTTTGTGGTCCTACGCAAACTGTTGGGGGAGAAATTCTTCCAAATTACTGGTCTTTTTACTTCTTCCATGAACAGTTTTATGTTTTGAGTGAGACTGAGTCCTACCAGGTATTAGAAAGAAAATAGTTAAATTAATGAGGCATCCATGCCTTGGCTCATTGACATAGCTGTGGGTTTTTCTGCTTTCAGAGAGGGATCTGGTGAGCCAAATAGAAGTCGCTCGTGTAATTTCAGGCAGTATGGCCAGTGAGGGGACAAATTCAAGGCAGCATAAGAGAAATACATGTTTAGCCAAGGGCTTTGCTTGGTTCCTAGCCTTTCTGCCATTATTTCTCTTCACATGGTCCTGAAAAGAGCACATTAGGAATTTATCCATTTTTTGAAATTAAGACATATGTCATTTCTTCCCCACTGATGCTTTAAGAATGAATGTGAGATAGAATTTTCAGACAACCTAAAATTGAGAGAATTTTCCAAGAAGCATCCTGCCCTAAACAAAAGTATTTTTCAAGCAGAAGGAACGTGATCTCAGAAGGAAAGCTGGGCATACAAGAACGAATAAAGTCCAATAAAAATGGTAAATATATGCATAATCGTAAGTGAACATTGACTACATAAAATGCATTGTAGGGTTGAAAAACTAAATGAAAATACACAACAAATATAACATTTAAGGAGGGAGGGATTTAAATGGATTGAAAGTGTCCCGAGGTCATTGCCTTGTCAGGAGAACAATAAAAGTTGCTAATTACCAAACCAGTGAGATAAGCCAAGGGATAAGCCATGTTGTTTTCTGGGAAACCACCAAAAAATTCTAAGAATATGATTTTCAAAACTAAAATAGGAAAGCCAAAATAGGAATAACCAAAAATAATCAGTCTAAAAGAAAGCAAGAAAGGAAAGATAGAGAGAGAGAGAGAGAGAGAGAGAGAGAGAGAGAGAGAGAGAAAGAGAGAGAAAGAAGGAAGGAAGGAAGGAAGGAAGGAAGGAAGGAAGGAAGGAAGGAAGGAAGGAAGGAAGGAAGAAAAAAGGAAAGAAAGGAAGAAAGAAAGAATGTAGAATAAATAAGTTGGACAATAAAAAGGACAGGGTAGGATGATAAATAAACTAAATGCTCCCATTAACAAACAAATATTGTCTAACTTGATAATTCAGAAATGCTGAGAGTTTAAGCATATATTTTTCAACAGGAATGTTAGTGTACATTGGTGTATTTTACTTAGCCCAGGTGGAAGTTCAGAGTGTCTGGCAGTGGGGAAGGGCTGGGCCCCGACTAGACAGGTCTGTTTTTGGTTATTAAATTTAAGAAATTTGTTCGCTATCCAGTGGAGCCTCTTCTAGACTTTAACAGCAATTGGAGTTCAGGTCACAGATCAGGCTCAGGAGGGAGACTGAGAGTCCTCATCAGCTTAAGGGGGCAGCTGGTTGTGGGAGGGGCTGAGTGTCTGCAGGGAGGAAAAGGGGCCCAAGGACCTCAGAGAAGGAGCCAGGGAAGAGCTATCACAGAGACCGCAGGGGGAGGGAGTTTCAACAGAGGAGGGCGGCCATCCGAGAGAGGTCAAGTAGGCTGAGGCCCAGGAAAAGACTCCTCATCACGACAAGTGCCATGGGGCAGGAGCAGGTGATAAGTAGGAAGTGGAGACAGCTGGTAGAGGAGGAAGAGTGGAAGAGTTTACAGCAAAAGGAAAATGGACACCAGGGCACAAGACATTTTAAAATCTCACTTCTAGAAGTCTCCTTAAAGGTCAGTCATCCAGTAGTTCTCAAACTTGAATGTGGATCAGCATCACTGCAGGACTTGTAAAAACCCAAACGCCTGGGCCTTACCCCAGAGTCTCTCGTTCAAGAGGCCTGGGGTGGGGGCCCAGAATTACATCTCTAACAAGTACCCAGTGATGCTCAAAGAAGCATATGAGCCAATGTTTCCTACCTTCTCTCCTAAATTCATTCCTTAGACATTTGAATTTATTATAGAAAGTGTTCCCCTGTATTCTAGAAGCTGATATGGGGAAGGCACTACAGGCCTAGCCAGTGCCCCAACCTGCCCCTGGTCACTGGCTAGGTCCCATTTCTTGGGCTTCCCCAACTCATTCAATCTCAACCCACCCAACACTGACCTCTGGGTTTGCCACTCCAGGCCCACGTTCCACCCTCCTCCCCACTGCTCTGTGCTGAAGAGCTGACCTGTATGGGCAGCGCTAACATTTGCAGGCCCACCCCTAGGCAAGAGTACAACTAGAGGCCCATATGCCATATGCTTGAGTATCTAATGGTTATAAGAAACTGCAAAGTGACATACATCTTATCATATTTCTTTGAAAAATACACTTCACATAAACCCAGAACACCAAGTCCAACTTCAGAACTCAGACTCCTCTGGGCCAGCACATGGCAGGACAGGGCGAATGGGCCCCTCTTCTTCCACCCACAGCAGCACCCTGCACAGAGAAGAGCCTCTTGTGCACATGGACACCCCCGCCCATGGATCTCAGCTCCATCCAACCCCCTTCTGACAGCCACCCTTCAGTCACCTCTCAGAACCAGATATGCATATAGACACAG